AAAAGATAGTATCAGACCCCTTGGCAAACACCTGATTAAGCACATTATTACAGTCCTTTATAATGTGTGTGAACTACTGCTGGGACACTTACGGTTTGGTCCATCAGTGGTGGAAGCACAATTTGTTTTTCTATTTTGTTCAAGACTAACTTCCATAGCTCTTTTAAAACCCGTTTCAGAACTGTCTTCTCACAGATTTTCGCAGACACACTTAAACTGGAATAAAACAAAACACAAACCAGTCTCCAAAACTAGCATTAAGACTTCAGAGGTGCTGTATCACTATATGCTCAGATTAATGGCCATTATGGTTTAGCTTTTCTCTGCCAATAAGGATTTCTCAATGGCTTAGTTATTTTGCAATATTATCAATAAATATTTTTGGTAGAAAACCCCACTTGCATATTACAAAATCATGTAAATCTCCACTACCCAATTTATTGCTTAATATATCACTGATATATGTTTATTGAAAATGCAAAATAATGATGAGTTATAAAGTTTGATGGCTGATACAGTTTAGCACTCTCAAGCCCCTAAAATAAAGTTTTGGTATATAATTTGTTTATATTTTAAAAATAAAACCCAAATGTCTGTCTCATCTTACATTTCTACTGTGATGTAGAACTAGGTGTTGATAGCTAATGCAAATTCAGGGCTACGATTTGGAAGCATTTCTTTCTACATACTGGCATGTCTGTGTAATCACACTATCTATTACTAATGGTAAAATTAAATTTTTGGAGGATACTTAGATTTTTTTCTTTATTTAAGAGTATATTCATAAACCTTCTTGTATGTACCATCATGAATAAGTAGCATCATGAATAAAGTGCTGCAGTTTTCAGGCACAGGAAAAAATATTTTAAAATAATATCATGCAAATGCATATGTGGGGAATTTTACAGAATTATGTCTGATCTATTAATGTAAAAAAAATTATTGTGAAGTGATTATATATATCACATCATAAATATGCCAAGTTGTATTTCTAGCATCTCTTACTACTCTTAGTAAGCACATAAATAAAAGCATAACTAAGAAATAGCTAAAACCCAAACCATATTAACATATATGTTTATAATCCTATTATAAATATGTATTTGTAAGAAAGGTGCTATTACCTAGCAATTCGTTTTGTTTTGTTTTGTTTTTTAATTTCACGTCTTTATTTTCTGTGCATGGGTTTAGCATCTGCTAAAATTCCATTTGACATTCCTGTGGTGAGGAATATCTTCTGTTCAGATGTAGTAATTAAAAACCCATTTTTATTTCCATTATGTCATTATTCAATTAAATCTCTAAGAAGCTGTGAAGATGGCTTTGAGAAATGGCAATTTGGAATCAAACCTGACAGGAAAAAGTCAGCTTACCCAGTTTTTTAAATGATGAGCTTAGGATAGCACGTGCAAGTGTATAAACACTTCTGGCTTTTCATCAAGACTTGTGCTAGGAGTAAAAGTTTTAACTCAACGATAAATAAAATTTAAAACCTTACTGCTTGAAAGCAACACATACCCCATACTGCTTGAAAGCAACACATACCCCTCTTGTAACTTAACACATAGGACTAGGTAGATTGCTAAAAATAAAAGGCTGACATATAGATAAAGCAGCGAAAAATATTTTCTAGGCTAGGAATCCAAGCACTGCACTTCACAGTGTTGCAAAATAGTCAAGTCTTATCAAGTACATTAAATAACCATTTGCCCATTGCCAGCTGTCATTGAAATTCATGTAATTGCCAAAACCCTTCAAAAAATGAAGCCTAGAAAAATTAACCCCCCAAAGAAAACCCAAAATTTCCTTCAATTCCCTCCCACACCTTTTATGCCAATGACTTTTAGACTTAGGCTATGCATATGTAGAGTTGGGAGCTGTGATTCTAGTTGTGTTTCTAAGATAGCAAGGCCATCAGTCCCATTTTTTAGAAACAATAAGAATGTGAAGTAATGCCCTGGAGAAAGAAAAAAGTCAGTTATAAATCAATTCTTTAAATCAGCCTTTGACTTGGGTCTTTCTAGTCCCAACATCAGAAGCCCAGAGCAGTATTGTGCATATCCAGTCACTAACTTCAAAATAGTGTCTTACTGATCATAGATGCACAGCAGTTTGTCAAAAGTGTAACACCAAACCTTCATGGGGATCCAAAACTCTGAAGAAGTTTCATTTGGAACTGCAGGCCATCACCAGTAACACCAGATAATCATAGAGTGAAGTGTGGAGTAATGTGATTTGTACAACTTTACAATGCAGAAGACAAAGAAAGGCACCTCGGCACTCCCTGGAGTATGTTCTGTTTAACGGGAAAAGAATCTGTGGGGGTTGGTCAGGATGAAAATGTTTGTCCAGGGATGAGAAAGAGGGCAGACCCCAGAGGATGCTAGGAAAGCTGAACTTATTGTAGTGCCTCTTCAGACAGGGGCTTTGCATCCCGCAAACAAAGGCTCTCCATCAAATGTAATGGCTTCTGGAAGCCACAGGCTTCCCTGAGCCTGCGCTCTGCCCGGCTCAGTCCCTTCCTCTTATCCTCTCAGCACAGCTCCAGCCTTAACCCCAGCCACTTCCTCCTAGTTATGTTTCTTGTTCTGCTTCAAGCAAGATGCTCCCTCAGCACACTTTTTCTGCCTTCACTTTGAATATGTCTGGCTAGGAGAAATACGCATAAGGAACCAAAAGGTTAAAGGATGTGTGACTCATGTATGTGTGACTGGAGACCTGACGCACAGGCTCAATGCTTGTTCTTACAGTCATTTCCAGCAAAAGGCCACTGGTGTTTCACAAGTACCAGCAGTGACATGACCAAGGACAGTGAGTTGCTTATACATGTGCCTGTGCTTCCACATGGCCTTTCAGACCACCTGATCCCATCACTGCTGGATGAGAAGACAAGATACCCTTGCTTTCAGGGCCCAGAGTGAGTTTGCAAGACTGTTTCAAAATTTAGCTTTTTATTGACTGAAAAAAAATCAAGCTGCTCCATAAATCTTTAAATGGTGACCAGGTTTTTGGGGACAGAGAAGTCCATATTAATAAGCAAGGGGACACTGGGCACCAGCCTAGAACAAATGCCAGACAATTTAAGTATAGGGAATGTAATTTTGTTCTCTTGTTCAGTACAATCTTCTTTATACCATGGCTCATGGAGGAGCTTTGTAATGACTCAGAACATGACAAGAAATAGAAAGGCAACTATGTGTCATACGTAGGAATTGCTTAGTATAAGTAAACAGGTTAAGCATAGTATTCTGCACACGTGAATACTACAAATATTAAAAATAGAACAGAGTGTTTCCAGGTATTAATGATGCTTCAGGGTAAAGCCAAGCATGACTGACTGTAGCATCCAGTTCCTAATCTGCCACACAAACCAGTCTGCCACACTTACGTTTTGTCCAGGAAATCCATGAGAGGCCGAAGCACAGTCTCGGCATCAATGGCTGCACTGTTCTTATTGGCTGCTGCATTCCCATTTCCTCTCATTTGATTCAGCTCATTGCTCATTTGTCTTACACAATCTTCAATAATAAATTGAAAACTACAGGATGGGAAAAAAAAAAGAATGAAAGAATTCTGGGATAGAAAACATCATTTTGCATCAGGTTCTTCAACACGATTTAAATATTTTCTGCAATGATGGGAAGTTCACAAACATGAAGTTCTGCAGGTGCTACAGACTGAAAATGACTCCTCCTAAGCATTGTAGCTCGTATAACTAATTCACGTACTGTTTTGATTTTTTTTTCCCCCTTGATTCTGTTCTGTCATTACGCTTTTCATGCCCTTATAGAAGTGCCAAGTAATTATTTTCTGAAAGCAATAGATGTATCAGAATCTGCAGTTTAGGTTATGATTGACTACCAGCTAGCAACAACTTCTCAAGATTTTATTTTTGGTGTGAAAGGACAACAGGAACAGTTGACTATAAATTATTTTTCTCTTGATGGTTAATATGAATCAAGCTTTGATATTTTTCTTGAGGACAAACAGAAAACTTCTACTGATTTTGCCCTGTTTGTCTCAATTTGACTTTTTCCTGGGCTTCACACAGAGTCAGTGCCATCAGAAGCTTTGCTTTCTTCTTTGCAACTAGACAGAGCTAAAACATTTGGACTGTTTAAAATGTTCTTTTGCAAAATAAACCACCAGGAAGTAGTTAGACTGTTCCTCCTGGAAGGAATCTTTCCCACTTCAAGGTGAGTATGAACAAATTCTTCCTCCTCGAGTTGTATCTGCTCAGCTTTTCTGAAAACTGTTCTGTTTCCTAACTGATCTGGTTGAGCAATGTGTCTGACAGTCTTCTAGTGCCACTGATGTGATACAATCTTTGGGTCAATATATTTAAATGATGCAGAACAGCAGTTAATCAGAGCCAACAGTTCAGAAGCAGAATAAGGCTCTGCACACATGATAATTTGGTTTATGATTGATTTAGGATGAATTTAATTGCTTTAGGATTAGTTTATGAACAGAAATGCAAAACAGAGGCCATAAATAAACCAGACCTATTAATGTGAAAAGATGAATGGCAAAGATTAACTTGAGGAAAGCGAAAAAGAATTTACTGTGAGAGAAAAGAAACATTGTAATTAGGCAGTAAGCTGTTCCAGCAATGTGGCTAATCATAAAAAGAGAACACAAATCTCTGTGCGAAAACACTGGAAAAATTGGAAACTTTTCCAAGTACACTTGGATGTATACTTACCTACACACTTCAAATCCCTGGGTAAAATCAACATGAAGCTGATTTGAAGCTGCTCATATAAATCCTTGAGACCAGTCCCTCCAATAAAAGCCAAAATATTGCATTGGCATTGGCATTTCTTGACGTTAGCCAAGATTCTAACATTGTTAACCTCACAAATCCCAGCAATAAACTGACCCATGAGGAATATTCTAGCTATATGGAGCATATCCTAGATTGAGCTATTCTCTTTTGCAGAAGCCTAGTTGGCTCGTTCAGAAAGAAGCCCTAGAAAGAAATAATATTCATGCACTGTCAATGTTCAGAGAACCAGGGCCTGGGAGCAAAAATAAAGCAAGACAATATGACAAACTAAGCGCACTCAGAAAAAATGAACACTGTCCACTCAGATGGTTCATCAATGGATTAGATAAGAACTACAGACTTCACTTAATGAATACCACTACAGCACTAATCCCTCTTTCTTAAATTCCTTTCTAATTTGAAGCAAAAATAACTTGCAGCTTCTTACAGCAGATGCACTGCTGGCACAGCACCATACTCATTCAAGACTGCAGTGTGCACTCTGATTAATGAAAGATTTGTGAGAGTACGGCTCAGTAAACAATTTTTGCAGAGCCACAGGCAAGCACATGACCCAAGAAGGCCATTCACAGTGATCATTTGAAGCAGGCTAAACATAGGCAGACATCGCTGGTTGAAGCAGGCCACTTGGAAAAAGCTATCAGTCTCAGGAAGTAACATAAACATGGTCAGAGAGAAGAGTTTAACACAGCATCAGGCAAAAACAAACCAGCAATTTTTGTTTTCCAAAAAGCAGAACAAAATTCATCAGCCTCACCTCACCCATTCATGCCCACAGACGATTTTCAGTTTTCTTTACAGTGAAGTTACTGCTGTGTGTTTCAGAGTCTAAACACGTACACACACACACACACACACAAATGCATCCCACTTCATCAGGGTAGTAGCAAGTGGTACCTCAGGACATCCAACCAACCACCCAGTCTTACTCAATGAGGCAGATTTTTGAACAGGAGTATTTCTCTAAGGTTTGCAGTAAAATAGGTTTGTTACCTTGTAGCATATGTTACGCTGAGTTCATCCAATACACTACTAAGTTTCACCTGAAGTTCTTTTAGAGTAACACTAGCTTCAGCATCCAACTGCAAAGAGATAAGTAATGTTTTATTTTACTTATACACTATGTTTTTGGGTTTTCTATTACAATTAATGAATAAGAAATACACTGCACTATGGAAAACCAAATGTGGAAACACCTGTTACAACACAGGATTGCTTTAGTAGGCCTAAAAATCCAATTACCATTTAAAGAAAAATATTTGATCATAATAGTGAAGAATTAGCTCGTTAGAAATCAAAACTGTGCCATTAAACAACAGCTTTCTGTGGGATGATGCAAATTGTGTTGGCAGTCACAAGAACAGAACTACCATTATCAGGCAAATGGTATTCACAAGGCATACAAAGGCCACCGCTGGAAAAGATGGCTTGAAGACTATCCATGCTGCTTTTACTGATATAGTATGAGAGAAGGGAATCTATTGAATTCAGTATTTCCGTTTCTCAAAGCCATTAAGACATACATAATCCAAGCACAGAGCAACACATTCTGATGCACAGGGACAACAGCTCCTGTACCTCTGATACAGGTTTTCTAAACATAGGAAAAAAGAGAATGCAGGGGAGAAATATAGTTTTACATTTACAGGGATGGGGATCCATGCATAGATGCTTAATCAAAAAGGTACTCTTGATAGTGATTAGCAGCTTGTTTATTTGCTATGCATTCTTTTTCAAATAATAATAATAATAAAGGACTTTTTGTCTCCTTGAGCTTTAGCATTTAGGAAAAATTGTTACAGTCCATTGCGGGGTATGATTGATGATCACCAGGATCAACAGCTGAATGCTAATTAATAGCTGCTGTTCCAGGTCTGCCAGCTATCTATCTACATCACAATGTTAAGGAATGATTTTCAATGATAATCCTCAAATTCTGAGCTCTGTTTTGCAGTAAGGTCAGATACAGATCTTCTGACAATTTCAAAAAGGAAATTGTGCATTTAGAATACATAATCAGGTCTGTCTCTATTTGCATTTTCATATCTTTCAACTGCATGAGTAGTGTTTAGTGCTTATTCTTCATCTGATGCTTCAGAGCACCGTGGTGCAGTAGGTCAGCTCTTTTAATCACACCTTAGAGACAAGGGGAAGCTGTGTCACAGCACATTGGATAACTTACATGAGACTACACAGGAATTCTAAAGCAAAGTAAAAAAAAAAAAAGTCTGAAACACCCCCAAAGATCTGCTGTGTTCTAATATTAGACCATCCTTTCTCTCCTTAGAGGTTATGTGTAGTTTAAAAGCATAGAAAAGCCAAGATTTTTCACTACAGTTTTTGACAAAAATCTGAAATAGGTGACAAGGGGGATTGCCACACATCCTTTAGAAGATACTCAATGATGTGCAGCAATTTTCTAATCTGAGAAGCTCATATTTTAACACTGTGACTACTTACTGATTTAGTTTTTAATTACTTTTTGCATTGAGAGAAGTTCTGGTGCTTCTTCGCTTCATGTCTTAGTAGTTTCCCTGGCAGATACACTCTGACAGTTGATATACTTAAAGTGATTGTTTTCCTTCATATGAAAAGCAGTGATAAAAAAGGCTAACTTTACTGAAATGTCTTTACTGAAAAGTTTAAAAAGTTAGAGTTTACTAATAAAGGCAAAGACTTTTCCAGGAAATGCATTTCACTAGGGAATTATACTGTCTTCTTTGGTAGGATACATACAGAACACAAATTTAAGACCACTAGAATTAAACATTTAACAAATACTGAACACATAAGCATTCACACTGAACATGGTACACATCAGAGAAGCACAAAATACCACAGGCAGGCAAAAGTCTCAAAATTTCTTACCAGATCATGCACAAGCTAGGGAATCATCTTGTGACTGGGACTACAAAGGCCAATGTAGTTGCTTTCTATCAGAGGTTGTTGTGATAACCAGAAAACACAATATATTTGCTAAATTCACCTGGAATTGGACTTAGTCTGGCCAAAATTGGATTAAATACCAATATCAGATTGTGGACATAACACACATCATAGAAAGGTGCATGCAAGTGCTAGATGTTTTAGAGGGCTTTGTGCTCACAAATTGCATGAACAAGTTTGTGTGTGCACAGCTGGAGGCATCTGGCAAGACATCCAGCCTTGTGTATACACATGCTCATGCTTATTAATGCAGTGCCATAGGGAGGAGTGGAATATAAAGAGGTATGCGGGCTGACCATCCAGATGCTAGACACCTGGTGATATTGTGATGACTAAGAATATGTTAGCAAGATTTTTAAATGCTATTGTTATTTTTGTTGAACTACTGAAAAATATGGTAATTTGAGTGTCTCACCAGGACTAAAATGTGCACTTTTCATTTATTTTACCATGTGCCCTCTATGTGCTAGTGTGTTCCCAGGGCAAATCAGAGGCTCCTCAGGCATCAGCCCTTGACTGGCACCATTCAAATATACCACAGCTATGACCCACTTTTTTTTTCTGATATGGTACATCTAAGATGGGAACTGTTATGATGGTTTTATACTATGAAATCCTGAGGGCATTTCACAACTGGTAAAGATGGTTTTAGCATGGCTTTGTGCAGTGGAGATGAGGTAAGTCAGCTTTTGGTACCTCAGCACATCACACACACTAACTACTATGGATTATCTTCTATATATCTTATCTTTCATGCATAAATTAATAAATTGATTTTTTAGAATGAAAAATATGTTCAACTATGATGCCTTACTTAAAAGACAAAATATTTGGGGGAAAAAAAAAAAGATTTCAGTGGAAGCAGGAAGGGTTACTGTCTCCCTCTTAAATATTCTAAAAGGCTGTAGTTCATGACATGACTACACTGTGCAAAAAACATCACAGTTTTGCAACAACAAGCTCAAAAAGGAATTTTATTTGTGCTTTAGAAGGATTTATTATTTCAGCAATGGTTGGAACAACGCCTGCTAACACATTTTATACCAGGTTTGCTTATTCTCAGGAAAGCATTGTGTGGGAAATGCACTATAGCACTACGCAAACGGTTTGGCTTGGCTTATTCAAGTTGACAAGCTGCAAGCCTTATGCAAGTTGACATCACAACACTCACTACTTGAGACAGTAACACATAGCTTTCAAAACCACTGTGTAAAGGAAGTAGGTTTCCCAGTAAGACAAATCAGTGATGAAGAGATTAATTCATTTATCTAAGGCTTTCCAGTGACCAAGAGAAGTCCTCAGCATTCTTGACTTGGCTGAGATGACTTACTAGCAAGGGAGTAATGATAAAAACAACCATCTCTGTTTCATGAGCTAATCTGTTTCTGGATAGTGCAGAGTTATGATAGGAAGGGAAGTGTATAAGAACTCAGGTAAATGCAATCTGTAACTCTTCATACTAGTTGCTATGAGTAGCAGTTTAAGTAGATAGATACAAACACGCTCAGCTGCAGAAATCTTAGCCACCCAGGTGTGGTTAAATGACGAATTATAGAGCTAATCTAGTCCTAATGTTACCCTACTTTGCAATCAGCCAGAAGGAAAGAATGAAAGTGAGGCAAAAGGCAACGCTGATCAGCCTCTGAGAAGATGTCACATAGGGATATACAGATATGAAAATGAAGTATCTACAGTATTGGGGAGTTTTTCACCTCAAGTCTCATCTGCTCCATAGAGTTTGACGAAGAAGGAAAAAAAAACCCAAGACATGCCTGAACAATTTTTCAGGAAAATAAAAGAAAAAAAGCCCTAACTGAGCATATTGTTGGGGGAAAAAAAGATGAGTGTCATTAATGTGCCATATCTAATTTAAACATTGAAAGAGAGGAAAGACGACTGAACCCTTAGCTTCTTGGGTTCCATTTACAGTTCACAGCATGTGCAGGCTAGTCTGAAAATACATTGGTAGGTTGCTCAGGTGTCATAATCTGAATTTTTTTAAAGAGCAAATTTATTTTTGTAATGGAAATGTTATTAACCTGTTAACATGTAAATCATACTTTTCTACTTATTCTTAATCTGCTTGGCTTTCTTAGGTTCATGAATATTTCTGTTCTTTTACCATCTTCTTAAATAGCAGAGTTAATTTTTACCCACAACAGAACATACTTACAAGTTTGTTGGCACACTTCATAAAATCTGTTAATTATGGATTATTAAATAGATAATCAGAAATTTTACTTTCTCTGAATGCTAAACAAAAGCAGAGAATACTTTTGCTGAACACTTGAAAAAATAAGAAATAAGAAATACTTGAATATCGTTGTTTCCAAATGCTGCCTAAAACTGTGAAATTTCTTGTACATACAAGCCTTAGAAAAGAGTTAAAGATCTGATGAATTTGGCTGCTGTTGACATAATGTGTTAGATTGAGCTATTCCATGCTGTAATTTAAAGTGTGCTAGTACGGACATAATCTTGTTAACTGCGAATTTGGTAGTGTTTCTATAGGAAATTACAGAGATGTAAATTACTTTTGCATGAGTTAAATGGAACCTCTCTAATATGAATTCCATTTATCTGCAAGTTCACAGGTCTAATTACTTATAGTTCCCTAATGAGACCACCTAGTTACTTCCGTTCAGAAAACTGTTTTACAAATTATATGTATGTCTGGGAAAGATACAGGTATTTATTAGATCGGTCACTTTAGTGGTTCTTTGGGTCTCTGATAGACACCATCATTCCTCCACACCTGCCGCAACTATCCAGGTACAGTGAATTCCATTTTGAGATGTTTGGCTGCCACTGCTGTAAATACTTAGGCCTCTGACTTTACAGATTTAAAGATGGACACTTCAAAACTATTCTGCTAGTCTGCGCTTATGTCATCCCATCAAAGTCTGTAGAACCACATATAGATTCCTATAGTAATTCCTATGCATTACATATAAAGTTGGAACTGAACTTACTGGAGTGGACATACAATTTACCTACAGTCAATGTAATACTGTTGTACATAAACAACCTGCTTTTGCTTCCCACCTTTTTTTTGATACTAATTGCCATAACTCATTTCTGCCATGTTCTGCCATCTGGTGAAAAGCAACACAAGTATTAATTTTTTTTCTGTCCC